CTCCCAACAATGCTGTGAAGAACAGGTTAACACCATCCCCGTTTTATAGATAAGGAAAGTGGAAGTTAGTGAGGCTAAGTGGCTTGTGCAAGGTCAGCGACCTATGAGAGGGGAGCTCTACCCACTGATGCCCGAAGGAGGTAAGGGAGATATCAACAACATTTTCGGAGGAAGCATTATTTTAACTTCCTTCTGAACTTTGTAAGGACTCTGGTGCAGGGTAGCTATGTGATTTCTGAGTGGGTGGATTCAATAGCAGCCGCAGCTGGAGCAGAGAGGAAAGGGCGAGATGCTGCCCGCATCCCTGCAAAGATGTCCCTCCTAGGAATCGCAGTGAATGGAGGGGGGTGATGAGGTAAAGGGGTGGGCGGGGCTCAAAGAGGAGTGCCAACCAGCACAGCTTCTCCCAGGGAAGGTTTTATGACCCAGAGGAACATGGCTTCACCGCCAAGAGTGTGGACGTGGGAGCCACAGTTTGATTTTTGACCCAACCGCTTTGTGTCCCAATTTCCCTAACTAAAGTACCACACTAATAGTGTACCTTCATGGCAGTGTCGCAAGAATTACATAAATCAATGTCAGTGAAGCTCTCAGACAGTGCACGGTATATAGTAAATGCCACCGGAGGATTTATTGAGTAAATTCTTATCTGGCCGTGAACTCCTGATGCAGGTAAACAACAGCTCACAGATAAACAACAGATACTATCTGAAATTTAAAATGAGGTTATAATACCTAGCTTCCTGTTTTTCTGGAATGTTGGTTGCTTCAGTCCCTGGCATCATGACATCATGCCTCTCCTTTGGTTACCTCTGCTACCTGGCTAAGCCCCCAATTCATTGGCTTATCTTTCTGAGCCTACTTTTGTATATTTTGTGACTTCAATTATTCCCATAGCACATAAAACAATGTTCATGTCTATGGCTTATTTTATTTTATTTTCCCCCTATGGCTTATTTTAAATGTACCTAGGAGTCATATTAAAATTCTGTCAACAGGGGGAGCTCAAAGAATAGCTTAAAATAAAAGTATCCTGAGCTGACTAGTTTGGGGAAAAAACGACAAAATGAAAGCCTTCCGATATGTCCTTTATAATTTTGTTATTAATTGGAAAATAAAAGGAAGTTGATTCAAATTAATATAAGTAGACAGTGTTAATAAGACTGGTTGGTTTTTCCATAGTAGAAAATGATTTACTTAGATTTCTGCCTCTCGGAAAATCCAAGATCTTGATTTTACATTCATAAAGATTACAATGTACCAGAGAGTTGAGCTATTTAGATTATTTCCAGAAGCATTGTCCTTAGTCTATTCAGACTTAGTCAATACTATTCAGGGATGTCATGTAGCATGAAATGTCATTTACAAATCCAGCCAAACTTCCGCTGAGATGAGTGAACTGGGCTTTTATTTATAATGTGCTAATGTTTCAGTAAGAAAGTTTGGAAAACCTTTATGGATTTCTATAAGGTAGGAAAAATACCTCCCACTTCTTTGGTTTACTGGAATATTCTTAAACTCAAACGCTCTGCTTAGTGATATCTAGGTATTTGTAGTTCTGCCCTAAGTCAAGGTTCTACCCTGGCTGGGAGGAAGGCTTAGCTCCTCTTTGATGGGGCTGTGATATTTGCCAAATGATTTTTAAGACAAGATTAAGAGACTGGAGATTCTTGGAAGGAAAAATGTGGAGCATTAAACCTGTTGTGACTGATCTTTGTAGTTTTGTGGGGTGGGTTAGATTGATTGTAGTTGAATACTGGATTTGTAAAGTGCTTTTTTCTTCCCAATAATTCAAAAAGATTTATCCTAAGAGCTGTGAGGTATAAAGCCAGGTGATAGCCCTGGCTGGTTTGGCTCAACGGTTAGAGCGTTGGCCTGCTATCCAGAGAGACCCGGGTTTGGTTCCCGCTAGGGGCACATGCCTGGGTTGCAGTTTGTCCCCGGCCCTGGTTGGGTTGTGTGGGTGGCAGCCACTCGATGTGTCCCTTTCACATTGATGTTTCTCTCTCTCTCTCTCTCTCTCTCTCTCTCTCTCTCTCTCTCTTTCTCTCTCTCTCTCTCTCCTTCCCACTCTATCTGAACAAAAAATGGAAAAAGAATGTCCTCGGGTGAGGATAAAAAAAAATAAAGCCAGGTGATAGGAGCCACACACCAATCACGCCAGAAATCAGCCTCCCTGCTTTAGGACTGCACTGTGTAGGTGGTCTTACATACATGGCTTCTCTGAGCGGACAGCACTGGGCTGTACTACCCCGATCTCTCAGAGGAAAAAATGCAGTTAATCTCCAACAGGTCATTTGCCAAGGATTGCATTTTCAGTCACTGTTAGAATGACTCAAACCCAGTTTTTCTAATTCTAAATATGTAGGGTACAGACATACGCCCTAGTATCTAGGCAGACTAAATTGATCTCCAAGACCACTTCCAGTGGACTTCCAGTCCAAGATTCGACCACTCTGTCATTTACTGACTCAAATGCAAATACTTGGACTGCATCCATTTGTTCTTTTAATCAATTCACTCAGTGAAATGCAAACCTAAACCATAAGAACAAAGTAATTGATACCATGAAATAATAGAACTGTTTTTCACCTGTGGTTTTCACATAATGTGTTATGATGTTTAAGACTTACTCTTATTTGTGAAAAATGAGTGATTTTAAGATAGTTTATAATAATGGAGTGACTGAAGAAAGTATGGAACACCTGCAAAATGCAATACAACCACTTTAAATCATATTCTCTGAGAGTATTTAAGGTTATGGAAAGCTGTTCACCTTATATTGCTAGGTGGAAAAAAAGCAGGTTATGAAGCAATGTGTGTGTGTGTGTGTGTGTGTGTGTGTGTATATATATATATATATATATATATATATATATATATATATAAAGTCTAGAATGATGTGAACCAAAATGTTAATAGTCATTTTCTTAGGAGGGCATTATTATACGTAATTTCCTTCTTTTTAAAACAAAATTTCTTATACTGTCTGCGATTATCAGGCTTTACATTTGTAATCAGAGAAATATAAATTTGACTTTATATAAAAAATATAAAGGGCAGTTTGAGATTTTTTCAGATGTTGTAGAATTATTTCCTAGAAAAACTCTCTAGGAGAAAACATTTCCTACCTCATTTCCTTTGCTTCCAGCACTGGACTTCATTTCCTTCGGTTGCTTTGTAAAAGAAAACAGCAGCGTTTACATGGAGAAGCATGATCAGCTAAATATCAAGTTGGGTGTACCTATTGCAGTCATTTTCTTGGTCACAATTTTGACAGTAACCCAGGTATCTTCTGACTCATGGAAACCTGGCAGAGAAGCCCACATCCAATAGGAAGGAGCTTCCTGTTTCACCGCCTAGGGTGCCCGTTTAGAAACTTTCACTGAGTTAAGTGAGAAAGCTGGTATACCATTAAGACTGTTCTTCAGCCAACATTTTGAAAAGAGGAAATCATGCTGAGATGTTTTAAAATTTATTCAACACTCCTTTGTACCTGGAAAGTATCATCTGAACTAAGCCATGAAGATTCCCAGTCCCTGTGAAACCCAGTCTAACACAGAGGGCTAGGATATAAATAATGGGGCAGGGTGCCATCCGGTACAGTAAGCATAGATAATGTTAGAGGAAAAGGAGACTTACTGACACAAAAGATTCATGATATGGATTACTTATTTAAAAAGACAGAAAACAAGTTGTATAGTGTGTACAATCTCATTTGACTTTAAATATACATATTTATGAAAAAAGAATGAAAACAAAAATAAGGATGTAAATAGTGTTACCTCAAGTTGGTGGGATTACAGGTGACTTTTAATTAAAAAATTTTGCCTCTCTGATTTTCAACATTGACTTTTGTATTAAAAGTGATTAAAGTTATTGTACAAAAAATAATATATATGAAAATGCTTTGCAACCAGAAGGGCAGTGTAAGAACTAAGGTTTTGTTATTTTATATATTACATGTGCTGAAATAAAAGACCTAACCACTTTTTAGTATGTTCCTTGTCCTTCCTTTTCCACGTGACTTTTTCTGGGAGACAGACATGTCTAAGTTAAGGGCTTCTTTCTGCTTTACTAGTTTATTAGAAAACATTGCCCATTATTATAAATTCTTTGAGGACAAAAATTAAACCTAAGCAAAAAAAAAGTGCTTGTTATAAGGATGTATAATATGTGACTCCTCATTACATTTTATTTAGCAGTTTCACATGGTAAGAGTTCAGTTAAAAAGAAATGTATTCCTCAATGCTAAAGACCAAACAAAAACAAAACCAGCATAAATTTCTGTATGCAGATACTTTTCTGTTAATGTACATGTTGTATCTTTTAGAAAATAGACCTTCTGAGGTTGATTCAAAGGTGTCCCAACATTTAGGTGAGATATTTCCTAAATGTTAACAAACCAGATGAGTAACATGTTTCTGATGAGATAAGCAGTAGGGTCTTTGGGAATCCAAGAACTATGCAAAGAATTAGAAAGAAAGCAAGAAGAGAACTCTAGGTTAAGAGGAAGTGGTAAAAACAAGAAGCAACAGGATGAGGTTGGGTCAGAAGCTTTCTAGACATGCCAAGACAAACTGTGTACAATTGTCATACCCAGGAGCATCCTATTCCCCCGCTAGCTAATTCTAAACTGAACATGTCTTTAGCCAGACTTGTTGTTTCTTGATATCATTTCTTTGGGAGATTTAAAAAATGAACCCAGGAATGCCTATCAATTACAGGATGGATTACTTCTGTCACTATCGGCAAAATCTATGGACCAATTAAATATATATATTTAGGTACTACTTGACCATTGTTAAGAACTCAGACCTGAGCTTCGCTTCAGTGTTCTTGCTACCATTTTCAATTCTTCAATGATAGTATGTTGTTATTTCTCAATATGTCCCTTAATCTCACAAAAGAACAACATACATTGAGTTATAAGGCCTATTAGTAAAGATGAGTCTGATTTGAAAAAGTAAACCTTATATAATTTATAAACATCTACTCACCAAATGTCGAAATTCCACAGAGAGACTCCCATTGGAAGATTCTTCAATGGACATGGCTTTGACATGAGTTCCACAAAGGACAAATCTTCGATTACTAGAGAAGAAATCTTAGCTATTTATATGGTCTCAGGTAAAATATATTTATGAGAACAGCAAAAAGTTCCAAAGTAAAGGTCTTACCTTAGAGTTGAAACATTCCTGTAAAACCAAGAAGATTATTTAAAATAAGCTATTTAATAGACCTAGTAAAACTTTTTATAATAGTTTAGAGGATAGTCCACAAACCTTCATTTCAAGTCTTTATAGCAAAATTTTAAAAATATGTCTTCATTGGAGTTCTGTTAAATGTTTGAACTTCAAAGTCAAATATTTGAAGCACATTTATATGTAATATTAGAGAAATAAATGTAAAAGTTTGAAATTATTGTATAAAATAAGGAGAGTTCTTTTTTAAAAGTCTTATATTTTCATGTTTCAAAATGAAACTGGATACTTACTTGTCAATTGATGCTTTCACCTTTACCTGATAGTTTAGTTCTGGCAATTTTATTAGTAGCCTGGAAAGACACATAAACAACAAATCAAAGATAAAAATGAAAAGTTCTAAAAGCCTTTTTATATTTAGAGGTTTGAATATATTTATAGCATATACATATAAACAAATTACATTATCTCCAGTTATATGTTAGTGTTTTAAAAATGTCCAATTCCTCTTTAGTTTGCCAGGTTACTAATACGGACATCAGCCACATCATATATTGACAAACATTTGGGAAGTGTTTCCATTGCTTAAGTTGATGTGTATTGGATACTACATTGGCTAGGTCAGAAAAATAGCTATATATTTGGGCTAAAGCCCAAATTTTGGTTAAATGTATAAACATTAGAAAAATCAAAGTCTATTACTGTGGCTCCATTTTATTCTCATATTATAAGAACACATTTTGTAATCTTAGTAAAACAAAATGTTTTGATGATAATTGTATTTTGGTAAAATATCGAGAAAGATTAGGCCTCTGGTAGAATATGAAACATTAACATTTAAATGCATTGGCAATCTTTAAAAATACTATATTCAAGTAACAGCAAAAACGTTAATAATTTCAAAAGACCCAATTTCCAATCAACTGATTACAGGTCAGAATAACTTCCTTTAATTCCTTCTTCTGGTGTCAGCCCCTTCTTTTTTTCTTTTGCTTTCCTCATCTTTTCTGAACTGTACCCTCTGATATACTTTCTTTCTGTAGGTCCAGTCCAGTTTCTAAGATAACCATCCCATCACTCATTCACTCATTCATTTACTTATGCACTCATCTGAACTTCATTCATTCACTCAGCATGTATCGAGCCCCTCATACATACCCATTATGTGCCCTAGGCACTGTGGCACTGGTATAGTGAAGACTGGGGAAGGGAGAAGTGCAGACACTACTATACATAAAAGGAAGAAGTCCAGTCCAATAGACGGAATATAGAGAATGGTAATAAGCAACTGATTTGCATTAGAGAAATATAATCACGGATAACAGCCCAAACAAAAGGTGGGTAGAATATTACAAAGGCTCCTTAAAAGTCCTGTACCAAGCACAGGATTGATTGCAGGGTCTGAAATATGATAAATGCGTAGTTTGGGTAGTGAGGGTTAGTATGAAAAATCTGATTCACATGACAACTTAAAGTGATTCCCATGTTAACCTCCCTTTGAAATAGGAGGTGCTATGGTAGAGAGGGATTTAAGGAGAAATTCTGAATACTAAGTAAAGGATCATCTATTAAGACAGTGGGGCCCTGGCCGGTTTGGCTCAGCGGTTAGAGCGTCGGCCTGCGGTCCTGAGAGACCCGGGTTCGGTTCCCGCTAGGGGCGCATACCTCAGTTGCAGTTTGTCCCTGGCCCTGGTCGGTTGTGCGGGTGGCAGCCACTCGATGTGTTCCTTTCACATCGATGTTTCTCTCTCTCTCTCTGTTCCTCTCTCTCCCTCCCACTCTACCTGAACAAAAAATGGAAAAATGTCCTCGGGTGAGGATAAAAAAAAAAAAAAAAAAAGACAGTGGGGAACAAGGTACAAGGAAGAAGAATGGGAACTTCAACAGTCAGGTAAAAGAGAAGGGCAGAACTCTCAAACCAGGGACTAATGGTCTTTGCCTCATGCAATCAGTTCAAACAACATGCAAGGTGGTGTCCATTCGGGACATCTTCTGCTCAGAACTCTTTGTAAGCAGGCCCTACCCATCTCCCTTTTGTCCCAAAGAGGATCCTAGATTTAACGTATCATCTATGAGGGTGTCTCAAGGAAAAGTAGAATGTTCACTACCCCTCTAATTTTATTTCCCTTTAGTGTTACCGTCTTATGGGTTAGACGGAGATGTGGGGATTAAGAAGAAACAACTTTTGAAAATTAATGACATTTTAAAAAGGAACCTGGCCTTTGTTTTGGTTCTTAAATTTTAGTGCCTAATTTACACAGGGAAATGATCAAGAATTACCAGTAGCATTTTTGAAATGCAAACTGAAGACAAATGCCTTCCCTTTGGAAATGGACTTCTGAGGTGATGAATGTTAACAATTTATTGTGGTGATCATTTTGCAATTTATGTGTGTCAAGTCATTATGCTCTACACCTTAAAGTTATACAGTGTTGTATGTTAATTATATCCCAATGAAACTGAAAGAATAAAATAAAAATGGAATTCCAATAGTGATACGTGATCAGGGGCCTTATCATGGGACCTTAAATCACCCTTTATCATGGCACCATTACCTTGTGTATTAGTTTAGAATTTCAGCTTTCCAGAGGTGAAATAGTGATTGGTGATTTAAAATTTGGGGCCCTGGAGACTGAAGCATGATGAAAATCTTTGAAAGTTTAAACTTAAACTCATTATTTTAAGTGTCCTTTAGGAAAAACTATGTATTTTGATTGCTCATGCTAATAGAAAGGATCAAATACATAGATAAAACAATGATAACACAAAAGTCATATGTTTTTAGATAAGGTACATAGTAAGTATATACTGAAAAATGTGATGTTGAGGGTTTTCTCACAAAATCTGGTAAGCTAGTTGCTGGGTGATCACAGGGGAAGAATATGCTACTGTATTTCCTGTATGGGATATCTGAAGCCTTCCCTAATCCGTTCCTAATCTATTTTCTTAATTCAATCTCTCCCTGCTCCACGTGCTTAGGAGACAGACCCAGGGAGTCATCCTTTCCTTAGTCTTACTCTCTGCACGCCTGTTCGCCTTCCCTTCTTTGTCCTCCCTCAGGGTCGTCCCACACAGTGACCACAGGGCTTCTCCAGTCTCTGCAGTCTTCTCTCAAGTCAATCTTTTCGGCAGTCACTCCATGGTGCCTAATGTTGTGATTTCATACGTTCATGCTAATATTCCTCATGTCCTCATCTTCACTGTCACACTCTTTACTAGCGGGGTCCTCATCTTAACATCTCTGTGGGTATTTACCTCAGCTCAGTGCAGGAGACACCCAGTAAAGAACAGTCGAATGAAAGGCACGAGGAGAGAAATTAGCCTTAATTACACAGTGACTGTGGTTCCATAAACATATGAAATGATAGAACACATTCTGCCTACCTTAGCTTTACAGTGAACTGAATGAGAGTTTTAAGTACCATTGGTCTCTGAGGGTGGGTTGGCATACACGGCTGCCGTTCAACCACAAATGAGCTAGATTAAAAGGAAATAAAGCGTGTCATTTGAAAACACTGAAAATATTGACAGGCTGAAAACCACAGAGGAATAGGATGCTGTCCTCTTATAAGGTCCAAGATTCCTACACTTCGAAGACATTCAAACCCCCATTAAAGCTCAAATCTTTCCAAAGACTTCTCATAAATAATTACTGGGAGACGGAAAAACGCCTCCAGATTGTCCCTAAGTAACAACAGTAATTAATTCTTAATTGTTATAATTGAGTCAAAAATAAAAGCCCCGCCCTGGCTGGTTTGGCTCAGTGGTTGGAGAGTCGACCTGCGGTCCAGAGAGACCCGGGTTCGGTTCCCGCTAAGGGCACGTACCTTGGTTGCAGTTTGTCCCTGGCCCTGGTTGGTTTGTGCGAGTGGCAACGATGTGTCCCTTTCACATCAATGTTTCTCTCTCTCTCCTTCCGACTCTATCTGAACAAAAATGCAAAAATGTCCTCGGGTGAGGGTAAAAAATAATAATAATAAAAAATTTTTAAAAAAAGAATAAAAGCCCCCATCTATTTTTATCATACTAAACATAAAATAGAAAATTAATTTCACATAATTTTGAAGTAGATACTAGGATTTCTGGTACATACTAGTATTGTTTTTTCTTTAGATGAGCTTATAAACATAAACATGTTATCCACCCTTCATTTCTTGTACATGTACTTAAGAAATCCTTGAAACCTTCTTTTCTAAATGTTGAAAAATGAACTTTAGGTGGGTGATGTGCTTGACTCATGGAAAACTGAGTCTGCTGGTGGGGGAAGTACTGAAGAATAGTAAAGAGTAGAACTATTTCTGGAATGTTTTGGTACTTTATTCAGGTCACCCTGAGGCTCACTGTTTAGTTCCCTACCCTTCCTTCACCTTAACACCAAACCCCAGTCAGGGTGTCCCTACACCTCCACAGGACTGAACCTGACATGAGGCATTTAACAAATCACACTTACTTCTTAAAAATGTTGTAGATCAAGAAGGTAACTCTTTCTAGCAGATGTGGTCTTTGCATCGGGATGGGATCACCTTCATATGTCATTTTGGTAGATTGCTCCTCTAATTTCTCCAATTGTCTTTTGAGTTGGAACAGACTTTCTGCCAATAGTGTAAAGCTATTGAAGCAAATGAAAATCACAGATAGTTTTTTCACTTAATCTACTATTTTAACTATTAACCATATTAGCAAATATTAAAATATTAAACTAATCACTTAAATCCATTAAAGGTTAGTGACAGTTCCTTGTATTTTTTCCTTAATCTATTTTTTCTCTAAGATGCATGACACAATGTTAAATATTTTCAACATTTTCTAATTTATACTTTCAGTTACAGATAAGAAATCCCTTTGTTTAATATGTTTAAGTCTGTCGAACATATATAATGTTAAGAATTTGGCATTCACTAAGGAGCAAAGAAAGAACAAATTTAAAACTTTAAAAATGCTTGATATAAAGAATGTTATGTATAAAAATATTAAAGAAGAACAATATAAAACAAACATATATATACACACACACGTATATGTATATGTATATGTATATGTATATGTATATGTATATGTATATGTATATGTATGTGTGTTATTATAAGTCCTAGGTATTAGTCTAGGACTTACCAATGCAGATCTCTAGCAGGTATCTGCGTAGAGTTTTCCTCACTATGTGGTGATCTCACCTCAGAAATGGAGGTGGGAGCTTGGGCCAGAAGATCAAGGAAGGGGAGATTGAAATGTTGGAGGCCGAAGTGGAGGCAGACTGTCTCAACAGACTTGATAAGTCCATTTAGCCCTGACAGCAGCTCTTTCCACTAAAAAGTGTACTCCCCACATAACATTGTGGAAAGAACTGTCAGTCCCCCACTGACTTTTGTAGGAGCACCATTTTACTGCTCCCTTCATTGTTTATCTTGTTTTCATAACAACAGAGTAGAGTAAGGCTTGGAGAATCACTGTATCTCCCCAAGGAAAATCAGTATGTTTCAAAAGGTGCCCAATTCCTTATTTTTTGAGAAGCATGCCTATCAGGGCAGAGCTTTTAGTACAAGAGTCCCCAGTTAGGATGTATTTTTATTGTACTGAATTGCACCCTTTGAAGACAATTTTAGATTTCTGTTGAATATTTTCCTTTTGTTTGTCATATTTCTAATTTTTCTTTCAATCAGATAGTTTTATTTTTGCATTGATGAAGGGGAAACCCATTAACATTTTTTTCTTCTAATACAAAGAATTGTCTCTATATACGATTGCATATGTAAGCACACAGGCAGCAGATTCCATGCTGTTTTAGCCATTTGAAATTTTTCGTTTAAATAAAAAAATAAATTGCTTTGTTAAAAACACAAACTAATGTTTGACTCTGACATCTTAAGATACACCTTTAAAAAACTGAGATAATCTTTTCAAGCTTTTGAAGCTAGTGCTTATGTCCTTAAAGAAAGCATATTTATTGCTGGTTTTAAAAATTCATGAGTCTTTTAAGATTGGTATATAAGAAAATGAAACAGTTCTTATGCATTTTATAGACTTCTATAGATGCTTTCTTTTTCTCCCCAAAGGAATAAAAATTATAAAATATGTATATAATTATATCTATTCGTTTCCAATTATAGAGTTCTCCCCTGCTAATAAACCATCAATAAGTTGAATGAATTGACATTCTGATCTAAGCCTGCATTCTCTAGCTGAGTGACACTGAAGTTTTGTACTTCCTGTGGTTTTCACTAGAAACAGAAGTCAATTGTTTTACCAGTTTTGAAGCTGGTCCAGCCCATTATGGAGTGGACCACCGATGCAAGCAACTTGCTGCCGCCTCTTCCAGTCTTGTAACTCTTCTAGTAGCATGCTGGTCATTAACAAGTCCGTTTCATTTACTATCTGTGTCATCTTACTGAGGGCTTCCTAAAAACAGGGGTGACTACTGAAAACATTTTCATGAGACACAACCTAAGTCACTCATAATTCAACCTATAAAACAATTTGTCTGACTTGAGAGATAAGAGCTTGCTTAAAATTTTGACCAAATATTTTACCAAATACCACTTTCTATTTGCCACAGCACTGTCTTTTCAAACAATTAAGTTATTGCAATCAAATAATGTCATGAAGAGAAAAGTATGGCCATAGTAAACATTCTCTTAATATCTCAAAATAGTCTCATACTATTATTGGATTTGTAACTTGTGACAATATTGAATCTTGTAGTCATAAAGCCATATATCTGCTTTTTAAAAATACATTTATAAATAGAATTTATATTCTTATAAATATGTTTATAAATTTATTTTTAAATGTACTGATTAAAATCTGAGCCTTTCTGTGTTAGTTTTCATTAGTACTTTATTTGGACTTTGGAAGGCATAATGGAGAAGTATAACTGTTAAAGGTCTAGTAATTAGATGTGAATTCCTACCCTGGTTTTGCCACAAGGTGTGTGGATTTGGATAAACCATTTAACTTTGCTGGAACTTGGTCTTCTGATTTATGCAATTAGGAGAACAGACAAAATTATTTCCAAGGTTCCTTAAAATCATATTCCTAAAGTTAAATATGATGGCATGCATAAAATGTATAGTATACATTTATTATGCATAAAGACAAGTTTATCTTGGATTAACCATCTGCATGTTTACAATCTGATATATAAGTGATTAAGTTTATAATATAGGGTAAAATAAATTTTATATTTATTTGTACTCACACAAATTCCTGCATAAAAAATGGAGCCAAACTTTTAGAAATAAAGTATTGATTTATCAGTGACTGGTTAAATTTCAACAGCATTTATTTTCAAGGAGAGGTAGAAAATTAAAATAGAGATGTTCCTCCTCTTTTAAATATTTCATTGAGCCAGAAAAAGGATCTTCCTCTCCTTAGGAGGAAGTTAGATGGAAAAATTCAGTTGTCAATAAACTATCCTAAAATCTAGATTACTGAGCACAATGTCATTTTTCAGCATAAAAATTAGAACACTTATTTTTCCAGTAAAATTTTGGTAGTCTTCAAGTAATACTCATCTCAGCATATTAAGTACAGCAACCAATGGCAAATAAAAACTAGGTGAAATGTTCGCCTTAACTTTATTGGTAGCTACAGTAAATGTACCACAAAAGCAAGATAAATAGACTCCAGAGAGTTCCAGCTTTGTAAACTTAGAAGCACGGCGAACAATATTGAACTCTTCCTAGAAACACTGCCATTTATTCATTCAGCATAAATGAAACAAATAAAACCCAAGAGCGTTATTCTTTTCAGTAGGACTAGTTGAAAGAAAAGGAGAAAAACAGCTGAAAAGCCAAATTAAAGTTCTTCACTCACCTTTCTCTTGAAGTTAAGGCTGTTGAGCATTTCTTGCAGAGTCAAAACTTCTTGACTCATTACCGCATTGTTCTTGTCTCCCTGATCTATGAAGGAAAAGAGACTAGATTTAGAGTCCTCTCTGAGATGAAGCTCTCTGTCCTGAAAGCCAAATTGACTGCAGTCTGTCCTCCTAAAATGCATGAGCCCAACCGGGGCCATTAGAGATGGACTTGGAAGTAATTCTGTTCATTTTGCCAGGAAGCATTACATCCAAGCATGCCGGAGAGGAGCTCTCTATTTTACAGACCTCCAGAGAAGACCTTTCTTCACACGTTCTCCTTTTTGGAGCGGGGAGAGAAAAGATAAAAAAGTTTTTATAATGGATTCCTTATTAGATACCTCTACATTGATAATAACCCCAATTGGCTGGCATAAGTAGGAAAGGAAGGGGCCTGTCTTTGTGTCCATGACTCCTGATGCTCTACCTTATATCCAGGAGTTACAAGAAACTGTCTGGTGGAGTTAGCATTTTGTCTACCTGGTCTCATAAACTAATAACAAAGACTAAATTCTCTGCTTTTTCTTTTGAAAAACATGCTAGCCTCACAGTAAGACTAGAAGTGGGAAAGAGTTGCACATTTTAGAAACACCTCTGACTGAAGAAAAACCAAAATTATGTATCCTCTTAAATGGGAGATGTATTATTTAATTTAAACATTACATTTTATGGGTATATGGGAAGTGATGGTTTCTACCAACCACTCAGATCCATGAAAAGTGAATGTTGGGAATGCTGATCTGACTTGTATAACTGAAAAAGTAGCACCAGAACAATATTGTGCCACAGTTCTCTAGAAACTAGCTTTAATTCACAAATTAGTTGCTTTAATTCACAAATTCACTGACTCCTAGATCCCACATGTAGCAAAATCTTGTTCATATAGCATTTTCTCAACTCAAAACTTCATTAGCTAATACTTTCCCATCTTCACTAGCAAGGATATAACTTGTTTTCCATGTATCTTTTATTTCATTTCACGTATAGCCAACAAAATAAATACTTGATTTAAGTAATACAATGATTGTTTTTATTGTTCATAATTCTCAGGGAGCACTCTACAATATTAAATAAACTCTAATTGCAATATATTAAGTTCAAAATAATTTTAATCATTTAGTGTATTTTGTTATATTCTAATTCTCAGAATTGATAGTTCACATATGAAATTTGGGATGAGGTTGCTTTCAATGAACTATAATGCCTGATTAAATCTGCAGTTGTGCTAAATTGTTTTAATATTGTAAACCCCTTTGATAATCTGATGAAAACCATGTTTATGTCATTTCTTCTGAAGAAAGAAAATTGTATATACAAAAAATTATAAACATTTTAAATAGCAATTCATGGGAGTCAAGGCATCCTGAAGATGCCAGAAGAACATGTCACTCCTCACCTATGCCAGAAAAAACAAATTTCCAAATAGCCTTGCTTTTAAATTTAGATGAAAAGATAAGCATTTGAACATAGTCATTCATTATGCCTTCTAGATACTTTTTAAGCTAATATTTCAATAGTTAAAGATGATTATTTAAATGAAAGATTTATATCCAATTTTAAATACGATCTTAAAATAATTTTAGAATTTAAAAACGTTGCAAAGAAAAGGGGACTCTAGTACACTTGCTGCTGGGAATGCAGACTGGTGTAGCCGCTATGGAAAACAATATGGTGTTACTTTAAAAAATTAAAAATTGAACTGCCATTTGACCCATTGATCCCACTTCTAGGAATATACCCTAAGAAGCCTGAAACACCAATCAGAAAGAATATTTGTACCCCCGTGTTCATAGCAGCACTATTTACAATAGCTAAGATCTGGAAACAGCCCAAGTGTCCATCAGTAGACAAATGGATAAAAAAGCAGTGGTACATATACACAATGGAGTACTATGCAGCTGTAAGAAAGAAAGATCTGTTATCCTGTGAGACGACATGGAAGGATCTGGAAAGTATTATCCTAAGTGAAACAAGCCAAGCAGAAAAAGACAAATACCACATGATCTCACTTATTTGTGGAATATAATGAACATAACAGTCTGAGGAATAGGGCAGACCCAGAAACATGAAAGTAGGGTACAGACTGACAACCCTCAGAAGAGGGGGTGGTGGGAAGAGATAAACCACAGAACTTACATGCATGTATGTATAACCAATGGACATGGACAACAAAGCCAGGGACAGGGCAGGGGGGATGGGGAGGAAGGTGCCAATGGGGTAACAAAGGAGAAACATTTGTAACAAAAATTAAATTTAAAAAATATATATCTCCAAGGACAGACATGGGAAGATCACTGATGCATTTTGTTAAGTGATGAAAGGCATGAAAAACATGTATAATGATCCCATTAAAGCAAAAAAAAATAAATGTGTATTATATATGATTGCAAATGCATACAGAAATAAATGGAAGGGAACCCTTAACTGTCACCACTGGTTACCTTTGGAAAGAGGAATGTGTTTGGAGGTGTGGGGGTGAGGCAAGAGTAAAAGACAATGTTCCATTTTATACTATATATCTATATTTATAACTATATCTGTATCTATGTCTATGCCTCGATGTCTATGTCAGTGTGGTATTAATGTCTATATTTGTATTGTTTCAATATTTGAGTCCATATAGTGCTCATCTAATACAAATTATCTTTAAAAAATAATAAAGGCAGCATTTTTAAAGCCTTGAAAAAATAAAAATTAAAAAAATAAAAACATTGCAAAAATAACGGACTTGCCATATATCCTTCATTCAGCTACTTCAAATGTCTTACATAAGCATAGTACAATTATCAAAGCCAATAAATTAACACTGTTACAATCCCATTAACTAATCTAGACTTTATTAGAATTTCTCCAATTATCCCACTAATTGCAACACGCTTTAAATGATCCATGATTACTTGTAAATCTTAAACCTAGCAAATAGCCTTATTCTTTTCTTCCATTTTTTAAAAAATATCTAACTCTAAACAACTTCAATGTTTAACCACAAAGAGATAATCAAATAAAACTTTAAAATGAAACATACAAAACTATGTACAATATTATCTCATTATTTTGCAAATAAATAGGTACATACCTATTGGATATAACTGAACATATAGAAAAACAATAGGAAGGAAACTTAGTACCATTTTGACAGTGTTTATCTGTAGGCTGTGGAATTTTGTGTGATTTTTATTTTTTATTGCTTTTATCTATTTTCCAAATTTCCTATAGTGAGTCACATTTCTACTTTATAATTTTTAAAAAGCATATTTCAAAAACTCACCTAGGGATGATATTACTAAGTTCCTGATTTATTAGGCAATTATTATTATTATCCCTTTTAATTGTGATAATGATATTTTGCTTCTATAGGAGAATGTACTTAATTTTTGGACCTGCATGCCAAAGTAGAAGTGCTCTCTCATCAGTTTTATAATTTACTTAGAATTGGTTAATAAAATATGTATTTTGTATATGGAGAGAAAAAAGGAGGAAGCAAAGTAAATACTCCTCTTTTGAACCCTCCCATAAAACAAACAAACAAACAAACAAACAAACAAACAAAAAACTCACTTAGGGAAGTAGATCAATGTATCAATTCTGTTAGTAAAGAAGAAACAGTAATTATGTTACTTTTATGTCCCTATGTAGAATTACAGATGAAACAAAAACTTACCCATCATCTGAATTGTTTTATACCTGTAGTCAAATTCATCTTGCAGGTCTTCTAAATATTTGGTATCTTGTTCTGTTATCTTTTTACAAAAGGAAACATACTCTCTTAGTTGTTATAATTAAGCATGTCAATGAAACATCACTGATATTTAAAAATACACTGTTTCGTGCTTCTAGTTTCCAGTAATATGCTAGACTAACTATATAGAACCTACATTTATAAAGAGCTAATCCCACAAAAGTTGAATAACACTGGAAGAACCAGATTGAATTTGCTCTTCTATTTTAACTATCTAATTGGAAATCTTTCAGCATCTTTCCTTTTGTTTCTCAACTAGTTCCCAAAGATGCTACTAATATCTCTTTTTACCTGAGAATCTGTGTACTTCTCCACTTTTAGTTCCATATAATTGTGTATTAATGTATCAATTATCATTTTGCTTAAGTCTCCTTTCTAATCTGCTACAGTTTATGACAATTCAGTGTAAAATTCCCCCCTGCTACCTCTTAGGGGAAAAATCTACTTCTTTTGTGTCTCCTGTTTCTACCTCTGAGGTTTTTACTTTTCTCTAAACCTGCTGAGGTTTTGCTGCTCAGACATAACAGGTGTTAAATGTTAAGACCTGGGCTTTTCATCTATTATCTACTATAGTCTTCACAACAATCTTATAATGGTGGTTATCCTCACTTTTACACATGAAGAAGCAGAGGGTTACAGATGTCATGTAGCTTACATGCCTGAGGCCACATGGCTCCCCAGTAATGGAGTATGATTGGTAGACCCAGTCTCCAGTAATTGAAGTTAAAAAGCTTCCCCCCCAAAAATCTTTTCCAATATGAACATAGTGTGTGAGAGACACTTATCTTACTAGCAAATTGCCCTATGATTTCTGTATGCTTTAATTTTGGGCACATAGGAGAAAGGTACTTAGTTGCATGGGAACTATAGCTAGCCTTTCTAGGCATCTATAAGATCACTCACCTGCACGCTATTTTTAATTGCAGCCACTTTGTGCTCCACATTCCTCTGTCTTTCTGAAACTGAAGAACTTTGTAAGGATTTTTCCAGAGGTCCCTGGAAAAAGAATGTCTTGAAATTTCAATGATGTTGATAAAACAAGTTTATGATTAATGTAGTATATGTAAGTATACTTTGAACAGAGGTTTGGATCAATATAACATGAAATACTCTTTAGCCATTAAAATTCATGCTGTAGAATATATAATGACATATAAGTGATGTCAAATGGTTAAAAATAGAGGAAATTATAAAACACCATATATTTGTGTTTTTTTATTGCTTATATATGTAGATATATTTATAGATAGATAGATAGATATACTCAAGTACATGTGATTGGAAGAACACACACACACAAATATTGTGTGTTATCTCTGAATAGTAAAATTATAGATGATTTTGTAGTTAAACATTTTTCTTAATTTGCTGTAACATACCTATATTACTTTTGAAATTCTCTGAAACTAATATACACAATTTAAAAATTAGTATAGTGAAACTACATTGTTAGAATGAAATTTAGAATTGGACTTAAATTCAGATGAATCTGACAGCATGAGCATTATTTCTACACTAGAACAAAGAACGTTTACTAAAGAATATGTAAAAATGTTAACCTACTTAAATAAAGAGGCTAACTAGCTTCTCCAAGCACTGATTCTTGGCCACTATAATAATCTACATTGAATATGTTTCTTAGATACAAATTACATGGACATCTAGAAATGAGAGTTAGGGAAGTCAACAACCCCTTTACATTACAGTTGGGTGGGGAGCTATGATTAGACAGGCTGATGAGTTGGCTAAGATCTGTAGCAAATCAGAGGTGGGACCTCAAGTGGAACCCATTTCCTTAACTATCAATTAAGTGTTCTTTCAACTACACCACACTCTTCAGAGGGTAAAACCTTTAAACAATTCCCTCACTCTCATTTAGCCTCAATTATTTGCTATTTCTTTGAAATTTACAAACCAGTGCTTCCTTTGTGTTAGTATGTGGTACTGGCGGATTATTTGCAGAGTGATATTTATTAGCATCTACGCAAATAAAATAAAATTTCTAATTTAATTGATATCTGAGATTTGAAGGGAACAACACACACACGCACACACACACATACACACTCTAAAATGATGCGAGATAAGAGAAATACAAAAAAGAATAGCTTAGAATATAAATATGAGAATATAATATATTAGTAATAACATCTTAATTTTAACCCCAAAGCATTGAATCAAACTCTATTTACTTTACAAACTTACTATACTTCAGATTTTAAATTAAATAAAAATATCCTCTTTTTCATCTAAAAAATAAGAATAGTACATTTTTAAAACTTCATACTTCTCCCAAAATAGCCATAACCTGATAATAACTAAACCTGAGAATTTCTAATAGTTAAAAACAAACAAACAAAAAAAACGTTTACTTGAGCCTTCAAAAATAAATATTGTGGTGTGATTTACTAAATGATGGAAGTTGTGCTTGGTAAAATTGATTATTAACATACTCTTTTTATAAGGATTAACTGAAACGTATTTATTAAGGATTTCATTGATTCCTCTACTTGTCTTCAATGGAAGTTCTAAACTCATTCAGAATAATGAGGTAAAATATAATTTAAATTATGGAAGGGTAAATTACATTCAAACAATCAACAAGCAAGTATTTATGGAGTTTCTACAAGACAAAATTCCCACTTGTGGAATAGTTTGGACTTGGAGGGTAGGAAATCAGGAGCTACTGAAGGGTTCTGAGCAAGATCAATCCCTGAGGATAATGTGCTGAGGGAAGCAGAGTCCAGATGGTAGAAATTCAACGAGGAGGTAGTTACCATATTCTTGAACCAATGTTGTAAGACTGTGGGCCAGAGTGAGACCAGTGGAAATAAAAAAGAATGTATAGATAAGATCCTAGAAACAAATGATGGAAAAACTTGGTAATTATCTCAAAGAAGCAGAGAAAAGGATCTTACTCAAAGATAACCCTAGACCTTAAATACAAGTGACTGGAAGGATGTTGGCACCACTAACACAGGAAGAAGCAGCTGGTTCGCAAGAAAAAAATTTTGGTTCAGAAAAATTGAGCCCAAGGTGATAATAAGATCGCAAGTTCAGAAAATGTTACCTGAACAGGCATGTTGGCTGCAGCCAATATTCTCCTCTCTTCCCTTAAACAGTTGGAAATAACCACAGCTACATGCATTGGATTCCCATGAAATTTTCCCTGAAAAAGAGTGAGCAAAAGTGACATAAAAGCTTAAATATATACATCATAAAGAAACATTACTGCTTACAAATAAAAAATCTCCCAACAAATATGGAAATTATTTGGGATTTATCCCAACAATCTATTATAAAGCCACAGAAACTTATAATGTAAAAGTTTGGGACATATTGCTCTGTCTTCAAAAATAATTTTACTTTAGGCTTAGGATAGGTTTTAGGTGAAAGAGTTACTTACTATGAACTACAGTGGTCCCAGCTATTCATCAGTTTACTATGTGCTTCATCGTTTGCTTAAAGCATTTCTTTTTTTTTTTTTTTCTTTTTTATCCTCACCCAAAGACATTTTTCCATTTTTTTGTTCAGATAGAGTGGGAGAGAGAGAGAGGAAGAGAGAGAGAGAGAAACATCGATGTGAAAGGGACACATCGAGTGGCTGCCACCCACAAGGCCAACCAGGGCTGGGGACAAACTGCAACCAAGGTACGCTCCCTTAGTGGGAACCGAACCCGGGTCTCTCCGGACCGCAGGTCGACGCTCCAACCACTGAGCCAAACTGGCCAGGGCTAAAGCATTTCTTTTGATCCCTGTTTGATATTGTTCATGGTGACTAGCTCAGGTATGCTGTGTAAGTTAAAATATTCTAATCACTTCAAGGGGAGCATGTATTACCCACAGTTGCCCTAGTATCCACCACTGAGTACCTTAAGTGCTCACTTACCCTACCTGCCAGGCCCCTAAGGGTGTCTGTGTTTTCTTGGTTTACAAGTCTAATTTGAACAATACCATAGCATTAAATTTCTTTGTTATTCGGCCTTTCCCAAAACAGGGTTAACAGGAAGTACAATAAATGTAGACAAATGCATTTATTTAGTTTTCCTCTGCCCTCCTCTCTGAAGGTGCTAATTATCTATGAAATGGCAGAAAAAAATAAAATAACAATCTACAAAGTGGAAAATTAGCAATTAATCAAAAGTAGATTACACAGACTAGTAAGCCAAGGAGTCTTTCTAGAAAAGGAATGAGGTTATTGGTTATAAACACTTTTATGGCCTTGACTGCCGTCACAATTTTATTAGATGATGCTTGTTAATTAGCACTTCTATTTGTAAAATTATAATAAACACCAAGTATCTGACTTTCTGCTCTTCCTTATACTGTGACCTTCAAAACTCTTCCCACTGCCCCCTTAAATCAGAAAACTCCACAAAGAAAAAAAAAATGAATTGACAGAAATTCATAAGGTAAATAAGTTAAAATGATCCTACTTATAAGCAGGGATACCAAATTTCTAATCTCTGCATGCTGACACTTTCAGATTCTTTCCAGTTAGAAGTTGTTCCTGTTGTTAATTTTCATATTCATTGATTTGTTTCCGTCTAACTTCCATGAATTACCATTTTGTCTCTGTTTTTCTCACTGTCACAGGAGTTCCTTTTTGTTGATCATGCAGATAATATCTTTCAACATTTCTCCGCTCCAACGTGTACACTTTTTTGTTTTTCTTTCCTACTTAAACTTCCTTTACCTTCCCTTTCAGATTCAGTTTCTCCTCATGTTTTGTAAGGTCAAATTACTCATTTTCCTCCTTTTTTAAGAGCAAAGAATCACCATTGTTTTCATCCAGGCTATTTTTTTCACTTCCCTTTTGCATTTTTTCAAACTTAGTACCTCACTTACATGTATTAGACAAAAACATCTCATGGAAAATTGATCACTATAGATTCAAAACCAAATTAGCACTTCTTATTTTTGTCAGTATCACTCATGTTCTTCTTTCAGTAGTTACCACATATAAACACCTCAAAATAAAAATTTAAAAAAGAGCAACAATACAACAAAAATAAAAAAAACAGAAACACTTCTAAGTGTGTGTTGTAGAAGGAGGGAAGAAAGAAAAACTGCCCCTTCTCTATTGTGTCTGTCTTTGTGTATAAGTATCACACATACTTTCTACTCTGTGGCTTGTCTTTTCACTGTTGCATAGTGTTAATGGATAGAAAATTTTAATTTCAATGAAGTCAAATTCTTCTCTTTATGGCTAGTGCTTTTTATGGTTTAAAAAAATCCTTCCTTAACCTTTTGTCATGGAGGTTTTTTCCTATTTTATCTTAAGTCTTTATACTTCAAAAAAAATTTAAATACGTTTTGATTGATTTGAGAGAGAGAGAGAGGAAGGGAGAGGGGGAGAGAGTAACATGGATGTGATGTCAGTCGCCTCTTGCACTCAACCCAATCGGGGATTGAACCCACAACCTGGGTATGGACCCTGACCAGGAATCAAACCAGCGACCCTTTGGTGCATGGGACAACGCTCAACCAACTGAGCCACACCGACCAAGGTTAGCTTTTATACTTTTATATGTTTGCCTTTAATTTTAACTCCCATGGAACTTGTTAATAATGAGAAGTACCTTTCACTTTTTTCTATATGGATACTTAGTTCCAACAATATTTATTGAACATTCTGTTCTTTCACCACTGGCTCTGCTGGGTGAAGCATCATAAATCAAGTGTCTACGTATGGGTGGGTTTGCTGCTGGAACCACTTCTTATGGTTTTGTCTATCTTTGCTCTATCAGTAAACTCTCTTAATTACTAGAGCTTTATAATAGGTTTGATGTCAAGTAGAATAGGTTTTGTTTGCATTTCCATATAAATTTTTTATTTATTTATTTATTTATTTGTTTATTTGTTTGTTTATTTCCTCACCCAAGGACATTTTTCCATTTTTTGTTCAGACAGAGCGGGAGGAAGAGAGAGAGAGAGAGAGAGAAACATCGACGTGAAAGGGACACATCGAGTGGCTGCCACCCGCACAACTCAACCAGGGCCAGGGACAAACTGCAACCGAGGTACACACCCTTAGCGGGAACCGAACCCGGGTCTCTCTGGACCACAGGCCAACGCTTTAACCACTGAATCAAAACAGCCAGAGCTTCATATAAATTTTAGAATCAACTTGTCAAGCTACACACACACACTCACAATCATGTTGAGAATTTAAAGGGCAATAAATCTTTAGATACATTTGGGAGACTTGGCATCTTTATAATTGTGTTCTAATTCATTTATTTAGGTTTTCTTTAATATCTCTCTATCAAGTATTATAATATTCCACAGAGATCTTACACATTTTGACAGGTTTATTTCTATGTAGTTGGTAGTTTTGATAATGAAGTAAATGGTATCTTTCTTTCCTAATAATTTTTGCTGGTATGTAAAACTATATATGACTTTTACATATTGATTTTGAATTTGGCAACTTTGCTAAATTCTTATTGATTTTAATAATGTCTCTGTAATAGCTCTTATTCTAATAATTTATCCATAGATTCTTTTGGATTTTTTTTGCATATATAAATTATAATATTTATAATATTATATAAATACTGATCATATTTCTTCCTTTTTAATCATTTAGTTTCCATCAGGATTTCACCTTCATCCTAAAGACTTATTTAAAAATGTATTGGTTAATTTCCAAACATAGGGATTTTCTATTTATCCTTTTTTCAAACTGATTTTTTATAGATTTAAAAATTCTAATAAAAATTGACGTTCTGAATTACTTTAGTTACTTAAAATTTGTTGAGACTTGCTTTGTGGCCCAGCATATGAGCTATTGTGAATAAATGTTTCACGTGAACTTGTCAAAAATAAGAATTCTGCAGTAGCTGGGTCAGATGTTTTACACAAGTTCATTAGCCCTAGTTGGTTAATTCTGTGGCTCATATTTCTGCATCCTTACTGATTTTTTGCCTGATTAATTTTGTCAACTATTGAAAGAGGCATGTTATATATTTGGTGAATTTTATCTTTATGATTCTGTCAAAAGCATTAGACTTGTTACATATTACTAATGAGTCAAATCTTTTATTGCTATAAACTGACCTATATCTATTATAATGCTTTTTTGCCTTGAAGCAAAAATATCAACTATGACATTATTCTTTGTATCACATAGAATTTTATTTTACTCTTGTTTAAAAAATTCTTTTGATTTATTTCAACATATAGATATTTAAAATCACATAGCAGTATTATGCAAATAAAAGTAAAACTTCACATATTTAGAATTCAACTTTTCTGAACTTAGATTAGCATCCATTTTATTATATAAAATAACGTCCTCTGAGCCATCAAGAATGTCAATGCTGTAGCATTTATTTAAAGTGTGAACAACTATTGTCTCCATTCTGTAAGTTTTGATGCCAGCACTTTCTTGATCTTACCAGAAGTTCTCAATAGAAAGTTTTCAGACATAACCAGGACCACATTCCTTCTGCAAATAGTCCTTAATGTTTTGTTGTGTGAAGCATTGAGGGATTGTAGTGACCTAATCATGCCATCATGATTAACAACCACATCACTGCACTTTCAGGTGAAATTATTATTTAATTGTTCAGATACATGTCCATAAAATCACTGAAAACTAGAATATATGGTAGGTTCTTAGATACCTATTCCAGAACACTTCTAACCAGTCCTCTATGAGCTTAATCATCAGCCATACTATTTTGGTTCCTGTCCAGTAACCAAGAAGTTCTTATTCTTAGACATTGTTTTACATTGTAAATGAAATAGGGTGGTAATTTCAGTAAGTGGTAGTTAGGCCCAAGATTACACAAATACATACTCTTGATCCTTTTAAAGATTCCTTTGCACTGACAGTGTAATTTTAAGTCTTGTCAAAGAAAACCAATCCCCATTCCCCAGCATTACCTATTTGATTAAACACATATTTTTATTTTTTTCAATGGCATCATGCTGGAATTTAAGTGTAGTCTGCTCAAAATAACAGGAAGTTTTGATAAATGAATATTGTACATCTTAATGATAATCCTGAGCAATATATGATTTATTTACTCCAGCCTTCTATTGTTTTGAAATTTCTTTATTTATTGTGAGGAATTTGGCAATTTCTCTTGTCACTGTTGCTTTGTGTATGATAGGCAATTCTTTTGCATGAATCTCAGTAATGAAAGATAATATAACTTC